GCTTGAGAAGTTCATGCAAAGTAATGGCTTTTCCGAGATTGACGGCTATGGCGGTGGCCCCTACGACTATGAAGCTGAGAAAGTCGGAGCGATTAAGCCTTGCCCTCAGTCGCTCCCCTATCAGCCCTATTCTGCCCTCAACAGTGAACGCCTGAAGTTGGTTTGCACTGGAGCTTGGGAGCTGGCGGAATTTCTGCAGGACGAACTGTGGCTGCCTTTTCTTGAGCCGAAAGTCCTACCTCATGGCGGTCCCCCTGATTTTGCTGCTGGGCCTAGCCTTGGAGCAGAAAGCAGGGAGGAAAACTTGAAGGTGGGGAAGATCTGGTCTACCAAGGGCCTGCTTTCTCTGACCCCGACTCCTCCGCATCTTGGGGCCTTCACCAGGGTGTTCAACGCCTACAAGAATGAGACAGTTGACCGTCAAATCGGAGATCGCCCGGCGTCTGGCAAATTCAGTTGAACATTCGATTCAAGGCCCCTCAAAGCATCTGCCTGGAGGCTACCTCATGACCAACCTGGTAGTTCCTCGAGGCTGTAAAGTCACAGGAATTGTCACTGATCGGAAAGACTTCTACCATCAAGCATCCGCCACCTATGAAAGAGCCTGTCAGAATGCAGTACCTTCCGCTACGAGCTTGCCGAGTTTTCTGGGCACCCATGCCTATTTAGAGTATGTGGAGAGAAAACATTCCTCTCGCAGCCGTGAAGATGTGGGTGACCTCTTTGGGAAGAAGCAGAGGTCCGTGTTGGGTTGGTCGCAAAGGAGGAGGTCTATCCAGCCTTCAGATCTCTTCTGCAGGGGGACCACTTGGGAGGAATTTGCCCTCTCTGCCCATGCCTCACTACTACAAGCCTCTGGACTTCTACGATCAGAGAACCGAGTTGAAGGTGGGAAACCTTTCTGCTTTCCTCCCTTTCTGGGGGCCTGGTCATTGATGACTACTTTGCCTTGTCCATTGAGAAAGTTGGCACCCCTGCTCCTGATACCGAAGCCTTCAAAGCTCTGGATGTCGCAAGAGGAGCATATGAAAAGGAGGATGTCTTGGGCTCGGCGGAGAAGGATGTTCCAGGCTCCTCCCATCTGAAGGTCGTTGGTGCTGAGATCAACAGCTCAGCGCCTGCTCGGTCCAGAGGAGTTGTCACAGTGAGTGCGCCGTGTGAGAAGAGGATCACCCTTGCAGTTCTTTCGTTGAGGATAGCTTCCTTTCCGGTGCTCTCTTCCTCGCTAGCGGCCAGGCTGGCAGGAAACTGCACATCCATCTTCCTCTTCAGACGCTGCCTTACTTCGATCCTGGCGGGCATCTACAGTATTGGAACGCATGAGGGGAGATCAGGAAACTCTGAGGTTTTCAAGTTGCCCCGATCTATTGCCGATGAGCTGGTTCTGTCTGCCGTGCTCTCTTGGGTCGCGGCATCAGGCGTTATCACCCCGATCATCGAGAAGGTTCTTGCCACTGATGCATCCATGCACAAAGGGGCAGTCGTCTCCAGAAAGGTGTCTCAAGATGTCGCAAGTGTCTGTCCTTTGGCTTGGAGGAGATAAGAGGGGAGGCTACACCACCCTACGTGACCCGCCAGCCGCCATGCTGCGAGGCATTGGGGAGGAGCCATGTCAGTCTTTTGGGGTTCAGGGCATGTATGGTTGAGCCAGTCTGCACGACCTTTTCGCCTGCAGCCCACCCTGCCTACCGTGTTCCCCTGGGCTACGATCGATTGCATCCAAAGACCTTGCTGGGGAACATGATTGCCTTTCGCTGCCTCGCCATTGCATGGGCATCTGCCTACTATGGAGCTCAATCATTGTGTGAGCAGCCAAGATTGTCGAAGATGACATGGTTGTCTGCCTGGCAGTTTCTTCTCACCAAGAAAGGTTTCGAGGAAGCAGTTGTGGCATCTTGCCGTTTTGGCTCTCCTCATCGAAAGGAGTTCCGAATCTGGGATGGGGCCTGGACATGAAGAGTATGGACTGCCGGTGTCAAGGAGGCCACTCTCATATCCCTTATAGCGGGAAAGTACACTAAGCCATCAGCGGAGTACGCGCCGGAGCTTGCCAGACACCTGGCCTTGCACTTTCACCGGGCACTCATCCAGAAGAAAGAAGAGGAAATGAATTTGCCTAAGGTTTCTGGCTTGGAGTCCGTGGTGGCAAACGATGCACTCCTCTCCGGCGTCTGGCAGCTTGAAGCCTGTTGGAAATGGAAAAAGCCACACCACATCAAAGTCCTGGAATCGCAGGCCTACGTCACTATGCTTCGTGTAATGGCAAAGACAGGCCGAGGAGCTCGCTTTACAGCCCTTCTGGACTCAAGAGTTGCAAAAGGATCGCATGCAAAGGGCCGCTCCTCAGCGAAAGCCCTAAAGCCCACACTGAGCCAGTCTACCGCCCTGCAAGTTGCCTTTGGACTATACCCTGCTTTGGGTTTCGCTCCTACGAGGCTCAATGTCGCGGATGATCCTAGCAGAGATCAACAGATTAGGCCATCAGTTTCTCACTCCATCACTTCAGCAATCACGCTCAATCAATGCAGAGCTCTTCACGCCATGGGCTTTTCCCGCAGCACAGCCAACTGGGTGCGCCCCTCTACATCCTCGCCTGTTGCCTGGAAATTGCAAGCGCTTTCTACCCCTTTATGGACTTTGCGCAACATTCAACCCCTTTATGGACTTTGCGCAACATTCATGGAGTTTTGCTGCAGACGTCGGCCGTCGATGGATTTCGATCTGGATTTTCATCCTTGTCGTCTGGCGCCTCAGAGCATGGATTTCAGCTGGCCTTCGACGCTCTATCCGGCGCACTGTTGCTTGGATTTGGATTTGGCACTTCCTCATCTTGCCATCCTCTCCCTCCTGCCTCAGCGGAGCCTTGAGCCGCCTTGCTGATCCTTTCTCCTCTGGGCTCCGTTCGATCCCTTCCTTCCACTCGTGGATTGAATCCATCCTCCCGCAGCCGTTGCCCTAGGTTTTCCTGTAGCCTGTGCCGCCATGTCATTGTTGCTTACTGGAGCCGAGGAATCGGCGGAAGCTGCAAGACGGGCCGGAGTTGAGCTGAAAGCTGATAGAGTGCTCTTGCCTCAGACGCGTTCAAGGCGGGAAGTGCTCCTTGATAGTTTTGAGAAGTGGCTCATCGAGAAGATGCGGATCACCTTGGAGCAACTCCTGGAAGATGCTGGAACCAGCCCTGAGCTGGTGTCGGAGTGTTTGATTGAGTATGGAAAAGAGCTTTACTACGCTGGAAAACCTTATGGTAGGTACTCTGAAACGATCAATGCAGTAGCTTCAAGAAAAGTTTCATTGAAGAAAGCATTGACAGGGGCCTGGGACCTAGCCTTCGCATGGGTTGTTGACGAACCTCATGCCCACCACCCTGCAATGCCGCTGTCGATTGTTCTAGCGTTCGCAAGCCTTTCCTTACTCTGGGGATGGTCAGTCGAAGCTGCCCTGCTGCTCATGACCTGGACAGGCATCCTTAGGATTGGTGAGGTTTTAGCTGCGCAGCGTGGAGACCTCATACTTCCTCAAGATTCGGCGCCGGGCATTGAGTATGCTTTGTTGCAGATTCGTCTGCCCAAAACCCGCGGATCAGCAGCAAGACACCAGAGTGCTCGCATTGATCCCAAGGACGTAGATATAGGTCAGAAAAGCTGTGGCCTTTGTCAGGCCACACCCTCCGCCGACACTTCCAGATGCTGCAGAAGGCCATCGGCCTGCCAGTTTCGAAGGTTGGAAGCCAAGCTCCTTATGATCTCGCCTCCCTCCGCCCAGGAGAGGAGGGGCGACATTTTTACTGAATAGATTTGAGGACGCTGAACTAGTGCGGCGAAGAGGGAGGTGGATCTCCAGTCGTGTCATGGAGATCTATCTCCAAGAAGTGAGCGTGGCCACCTTTGCAGAAAGGCTCGCTCCGACAGCTTTTCGTAGGACCTTTGATCTTTCCTCTGCCTTCCCTCTCATTTTAGAGAAGGCTTTGTTTTCCGAGCTACGGCTATCCCGGAAGTGACTTGGCCCCGACTTTGGTAGACCGCATGAAAGTGGAGGAGTTGGGATTTGTGGTCAAGGCAGTTGATTGAAAGAAGCATCCACTGGCTAGAGAAACCACCAGCCTTGGAGTGAAAACGAGCGATATCCTGATGTGACAGGATTGAGTTTTGTGCGTTCCACTCTCAAGCTTTTTCCCCCCTGGAAATGCCCACCCAGTCACCAGTCGGGGCCCTATGTCGCTTGAAAGAAGCGTCCACTGGCTAGAGAAACCACCAGCCTTGGAGTGAAAACGAGCGATATCCTATATAGTTTCTTTCTATTTTCCCTTTAAATATGATTAATTCCTTTCATTTTCTTTTGCAAAGTAATGAGCAGAAGTGCTATGTTCTAAAAGGAAAATGAAAGGAATTGATCATTGTTCAAAGGGAAAATGTAAGGAATTATATCAACTTAGCACTTTCTAAGGAAATTGAAAGGACTTGTTCATCCTTTATTCATTGTTTCCTTTTCATCTTCTATTCCTGGAGTAGTATCACTGTCATTATTTTCTTTCTTCTTTATTCCATGTCCAGCTCTATTTGATGGTTTCTTTCTATTTTCCCTTTAAGCTTGATGAATTCCTTTCGTTTTCTTTTGCAAAGTAATGAGCAGAAGTGCTATGTTTTAAAAAGGAAAATGAAAGGAATTGATCATTGTTCAAAGGGAAAGTGCAAGGAATTATATCAATTTATCATTTCAAAGGAAACTGGCAGGAAATATTCATCCTGTATCCATTGTGTCCTTTTCATCTTCTACTCCTAGAGTATTGTAATTCTTTACCTGTCTCATGCGCGAACGCAGTGTTTCTGCAAAAATTCGCAAACCGTGGTAGGGCAAAACGTCCGCATAACCAAAATCATATAAATCGCTTGTATACTATATATAGTAATACCCGTTGTAGTACCACTATATTATAGTCATACCCGTTGTATATTAGTAGTCCTGAAACCAAAAACGTCTCCCTTCGCCACGCGGCCACGGAGGTCCCGCAGCCACGGAGGTGCAGCTCTTGGGAACGGCCGGAAACCAGTGACCTCAGGGAGAAGCAACGAACGCGTCGCCACCCGGTGTTTGAGACCCACATGGAACCTGGACCTGCGGACGGAAGAGAATGTTCCTCTAGGGACCTTCGCAGGTTCCATTTGTTCATCTTCCAGGGCGTTCGACTGCGGGCCGTGCGTTAACCAAAGCAATGCATTTCATTCGTCAGAATGCGTGCGAGGCGTCCCACCAGCGCCCGAGTGTTGTTTTCACACGTAGAGATTCCAATCCGGCCGTGATCGCGTTGCACCCAACAGATTCTACAAGTACTTTCACTTGTGACTATGAGAAGGAACCGTTTGAAACTCACTTTTGCTGTTGCACATCTATGGTATGTTTGACCTGCCGTTCGGGTGTTTTGGGTCGCAAAAAGAGCGCTCCGCTTCAAGCAGTTCAACCTCACTTCTGGCCTCCGTGCGGTGAGTTCCTATACGTCTATAGGTGCCATTTGGCTCACAACCAACCGATTTGTCTCAGTCCTTTGTTGGACAGACAGATCACCTTTGCTTGAACCTTCCAAGCTTGTCTTGGTTTCCCAGGTACCAGCAGATGGAACACATGGCGTTTTACAGTGGCTCCAAGGGCTTCAGCAAGGCCAAGGTGGGACAACTGCCTGCTGCTGGTTTAGCCGGCAAATCGACCAACCGAAACATTTCCGCAAGTGTCTAATCATCCTGGAGTAGATTCTGTTCAATTTACCAAAGGTTCAACCGTTCAACCCCGCGTAGATAGAATATACTGTAACTTGTCAAGGAAATGACTTGTGATATACCTTGTGTCTATCCTATTATCAGGTTTCAGTGGATGATGGTGGTTAGGTTGCAGGCCTTGTTCTAAAATAGTGATACAGGCAAGTTCGGACAGACCCAAGATATACTGATATACCATCCTGGACTTGGATCGTCCTGGCTGGACATCTCTAAGTACAGTGCAGTGTGATTAGTCCATTGATGTCCATCCAGGACACCCAAACAGGATGGTCCTGGTAGAATGATTTCAAAGGCCTTCCGTGTTGTGTTTTGGGATATGTCTTTATGGGGAAGCCATGTGGGAGCCATGTTTTCCGTGCAGAATGCAAGTCCCATGCCACTGCCAATGTTCACTGATGCGTACGCAAGATGCCTGGCAGCTGCACCTCCTCGTCAGAAGGGGCGAGACAAGAGTAGCAAGTATAGGTGTCCGCTAGAGCACGCTCTTTGAAACAGTCGCCCGGGATCTCTAGTGACTGCAAACACCTGTTTGAAGTGCAACAACTAGGCTAGGTCTTCCATAAAAGGTGCACGAGTCCAATGGTCACTGATTGGGGGTACAGCAAGAATTTGATAGCTTGCCTGGTTCCAACTTACTTAAACAATCTTAGTGTTGCTGTAGACATTCCCGCAATCCAAATCCTCAAACGTGATGATCACCTACACTGACTAGCTTGCCTCTCCCAGAAAAGTTCCCAAGCGTGGGCTGAAGACATGGCGCGTACAGCCAAGCGTGGCGCCCTATCGCTCGAACATCTAGCGGCTAGCCACTCGAAAAGCCGCTCGGTGACTTTGCAGCACCCAGAAAGATTGGCGCTTAGAAGCGCCCACTGTTGGCAGAAACACCAAAGATCCCGAATTCGGGAGACCCTCAGAGTGTCTGTCCACTGCACATCGGTGCAGGTCCAGAATTCACTCAAGCAAAGCAACCTGATCTTGCATATAGAAGTTTCCGCTTGCCTACGCTTCAGAAAGGGCGCGAAGCACCCGTGGGGCACATACACTTGGAGGATGTTGGCTTCTGGGCGCGCTCTGCTTCTCCATAACGATTTCGTTTCTTTCACACACCAACACTACGCGTGACGAGGATCCTAACGCAGGATCAATCCACATGAAGGTTCCCGACCAAAAGGGTTTCAAAACCACCAAGCGGCAACGCTGGATACGGCAGGAGGGTGATGTACTCGTCCAATTGCGACTCGCGCAAATCCTTCGATCTGAGGCTCGTAGGAGGGCAGCCTAGTCCAGCAATGCTGAACTGTTCTTCCTGCGGAGTGAAAACCTGTACCACGATCCGGCGATCCGAATTCACTCTTTCGAGGTGCCAATCTGAAAGATGAGCCGGTTATAAAATGATCTGCTGTTGCGGTGAACCTCCAGCCAACTGTTCCTGGGTCCAAAGCGTTCGCCGTCGTTGATGGCCCATCGGAAGCATCGGTTTCGGGCCCATCGGTTGCGACATCGACTGGGTTCGACCTGGTTCACAAATTGACAAACAGGCCATGACCAGGATCTCTGCAATTCTTTTTGTACGCTGGCAGGCGAAGCATAAGTGCCATGAGAAGCCAGATGAGCACCATGTTGATGTCTTCGTCTTATTCCTTGTTGAGCGCCAATGAAATCACATTGAGCCAGACATCTTGACTTTGCAGCGCTCCCAGATTGAGAATCTGCCAGTTCTAGCGAAGAACATCAACTGAGTTAGCAGTCCCAAAGCGCTTTTCTCTGCAGCGAACATGGTTGATATTGTCATTACAGGGTCCATAGTTGCTGCTCTTGCACCCTTTCTCCTTGTAGGTGCCAAGTGTAAGCGTCATATGTACATGTAGGCTGTACTACTTCGGAAGAGTTTACGCAAAATTGAAAAATGTCTTCTCTATGTCAGGGTCACGGCCCCTCCGGGGCCTCCACCTCCGTGGCACTCAGCAACCCTGCCTGCAAAATGAAGTCAAACAAGAAGCGAGTGTAAGTCACTGTGTGCGACATGTCCAGTGATCCATCGAAGAAATGTCCCTTCTTGGATGCTGATCATCCATAGCTGGGGGTTGGAAGGTCATAGTCCAAATGCTCTTCAAATTCTGAATCACCAGCGGCCTTCTTTGAGTGAAGCTTTAGGCAGTGTGGCCAAACACATCAAGAAATATGCGTTTCTAGTGGGCAAAAAGGACAAGCATGATTTTCCATAATCAACCCCTTGGACTACTGGAGAGAGGGGGTATCAATTGTTGACGCAACATGGAGTGTGACATATAGAAACAAACACAAGCAATAGACCTTCTGCGGTGGATATGCTGGGGCTAAACAACTCCAACAAATACATCGATCGCATGTAAATGAATGCTGATAAATTTTGGGTAGGTCTTCTGACTTATACCTATATACGAATGAGGATAAAACAGTTGCGCTTTGCAATTGCAAACGCTTTGGAAAGAACTGTCTATAACGCCATGATTTGTTTGCAGGTGGACGGTCCAGAAAATTTAACCCATACTCATATCATATGTCCTCTAATCTTCAACTTCTAATTACTGTACATTTCTTGCTATCTGTGAGGTGCTTAGTTGTGAATCTTCTGCTCAGTCTTTGCTCAAAATGCACCACAACCCCCAGGGAAATCCCGGTGGTTGACATCCTATGAACAGGTTCTTAAAACCCAATTCCTAAGAAGCCTTCGCCTCCCAAAAAAGAATTCCACCACCCGACACAATGCCCCAAAGAAACGCCGGCCCGGTCTGTGACTTGTGTGAAGGATCCACGCGTGGGCCTTTACCCTTAAAGAAGCCCTAGCGCAGCGAACGCTTGGGACTCCTGGAGCGAGCCTCTCCGTGGGTGATGAACCACTAGCTAAACAACGCCATGTGGCCTAAGGCAAGGAAAACAACAGTGATTGAACATGACAGAAATATCGCCGCCAACTTTAATTTGCAGTTCATCCGGCTAGTAAGTGTTGCGCATCCAGCACATAGATTTCTTCACAGGATGCTGTGGGCCGTGAGCCTGCTATGTGTCCCAAACTTTCCTGAAGTCAACGAACTCCTTGTGTGCCACACTACGTGATATATATATATATATAAGCATCGTCTACAAACCCATCTACTCTCAAGCCATCAACTCACAGTGACCAGCCATTCCCTTGTCAAGTGCGAATGGAAGTGCAGCGACATGTACAGTGCAACATGTACATAT